AGCAGAAAGCGGGTTAACCAAATGTTCTTCCTTAGGGCTTTGAAAGTAGTGGATTTTAAGGGAAGCAGTTGTTCAGTGTGGTGCTACAAACTCATTTCTATGGGCACTTTGAGTCCATAAGATGCCTTCTGGAGAGGCTATCTGTGAAAAGGAGATTTGCCTTCTTATTGGCAGAAAGGAAAGGGGAAATTGATCTGGAGATTTACTGAGCTTGAAAAGGAAGATGAGGGAGAGAAATTTAAAGAGTGAACTAGAAATGTTAAAGATGGCTGCCACACAGTTCTTCAACAAGAATCCAGCAAGGTCTCCTGTTGACAGCAACTACAAAAACTGACATTTCCCTCACAAACTGCTCATTGCTGGTGACATGGACTATGTGCTTAGACCTTACTCTCTTTAGGCATGGTGAGCAACTCTATCCATAATAAGTTCACAACCCCACCCAAGCTGGTCTTTAGCTAATTCCTTTATGCAGTTGAGAACCACAGGAGAACTAGTAAAGTGTTCTATTTAATCCAATGCAGTTGCTTTAAAAATAACTAGAAAGGCATCTTTGGGCTTCTATATCCTATTAGCATATTCAATATTATCAGAGGGCCTTATTATGAGACAATATAATCTGTGCAGCTTTCCATGGAAAAATTAGAACTGATGACAGCAAAATTGGGTTTTTGCTAGTTCTTGGAACAACAACAAAAAAAGGTGGACAATGTAGCTCTATACTTGGGCTGCACAAACAAATCTGTCGAAGAATTTACAACCAGAGTGCTCCTCAGAAGCAAAGATGGTGAAACTTCATCTCACTTACTTTGGGCAAATATTCAGAAAGAACTAGTCCTTGGAGAGAGAGACACACATACACACATCATGCTGAGAAAAGTAAAGGGTCAGTTAGAGAGGAAGATCCTCAACAAGATAGAGTAATACGGTGACTGCATCAATGGGCTTGTGCAGAACAGAGATGATGAGGATGGGGCGAGGTTCAGATCTGTTGTTCATAGGGTCGCTATGAGTTATAGTGCCCTCAACAACACCTAACAGCCAAATAACTATTCAATCCACAGTGATTACAGGGGGTTTGATGACCTAGTGGTTTGGCTGCCAAACAGGCAGATGGTTTAAGTCTCCCCTTGTGTGATTTACAGCCTCTGCTAAACCACTGAATGGTCAGCTATGAGTCAGTTCTGAATTGACAGCAATGAATTTGTGGGTTCCCCCCCATCTAGACACCATTGTTAAAATGCTGCATCATCTGTAAAGTCTTTCCTGAATCATCAAAGGAGAGTCAGTCACTTCATCTCCTAGGTTTGTATAGCCACGTGCATGTTCAATATCAGAGCTGCCCAAAGTGCAAGGCAAGTCTGTCCTTTTACACATGAGGTCCCAAAGGGGAAGACCCACGTCATTCCTCTTGCATCCTATCACCTAATTAATCAGATATACCCAACAAATATTTATTTAATCAAAGAAAGAAAGGAAAAGAGAAACATCCATGATTTAGGTAGTTATTTTATTAGGTAGATTTAGGTAGTTATCTCTGGACCAGGGATTGGATCGGCTGAGCTCTTTATGTGTTTTGTGTACAGCTTAAAAGTTGCATAAAATCAATGTACAGGGAACACTGACATCTTACTTTTAGCATCTGAAAGCCTGTCTCCTATAGTTTAGTGAATGAACCAGCACTGACATGTGACTAACAATAATGATAGGTTGTTCATTGAGCACTTTCTGTATTTTAGGTATTTGTTAATCTCTACTTCTGCTAATCTTATTTAATATACACAGAATCCTATCAGGTATCTCCTATTTTGACTCCATTTACACAGTAGGGAAACTAGAACCCAAAAAGAGAGAAACTAGAGCCCAAAGACAAATGATAAATCGATGGCAGAGGTGGACTTTGAACTTATTACAATATACTGTTTCTATCAGCACTTTGTGTGTTTCCAATTCTATGATACCTGTATTTTCTCAAATATTCTCTGATTTTTCTCCCAGCTGAGCAAGATTTTGTTCTTTTAACTTAAAGGGAGGGGGAAAGAATAGGAAGAGTAATATTAATAGTTCTAAATCTACTCATTAACAGATGTTTATACCAATAACACTTGAAAGTGGGTCAATTTTTCTTTCAATGGACACATAAAAACTGCTTATTTGACTATTTCTATTCTCGAAGGAAAGGCCATGGCAATACCAAATCATCCTAACTTAGATGCTTATTTATCCTCTTCCATTGAATTCAGCCAGTACTGATTGAGCACTTTCTATCCAGTATGTATGTGCTGAGGATAAGGACACAAATAGTGAACAAGATTAACACAGGTGGGGCAAACACACAGATAAGACAAAAAAATTAAAAAATGCGGAGTATATAATGACCTTTGCCTTCAAGTTTCTTCTCCCCAGTGTTGCTCTTTCAGCTAAGCATAAGGCCTAGTCTCAGTTCACTTAGATTTCTGCTCAAAATACCATCTACTCAGATAATGCCTCCTTGATAGCCCCCATTCATAAAGGCATTTCTCAGTTTTTGCCCTTTTGTCTTGTTTTAGTTTTCTTTGAGTGAGCTCGGGTGGCGCAGTTCATAGGGAGTTTCACAGGCAACCCAAAGGCCACACTTCTCTGCTGGATCAAATCTCTTCAGGAGAAAGATAAGCATTCTCTTCTTATGCAGTTTTACATATGTATTGGTTCTGACTCAGTGGCAATGAAAAAGGGACAGGGAGAAAGAGAGGAAAGGAGGGTTTTCTTTGTGGAGTCTTTGGTGCAAAAGATTAAGACATTCTGCTGTTAATCAAAAAGTTGAAGGTTCAAGTCCATGTAGAGGCACCTCAGAAGAAAGACCTAGCAGTTTATGACTAAAATGTCAGTCAATGAAAACCCTGGAGCACAGTTCTCTTCTAACACACATGGGGTCACAATGAGCTAGAATTAATGTGATTGGAAACTGGAAGGTTTTCTTTGTAGCTATATCACTATATGATTTTATATGCTCATTTGATGTGTTCATTTTCTGGATCTGTAATAGGAACATAAACTCTAGATACCAATAATAGTTGTAGGCACATAGAAGGCACTTGGTAAATATTTAGTACATGAATACAAAAAAGCTAGCATGTCAGGCAGATGATATACAGGAGCATAGAGAAAGAGACCCTGTTGCAGACAGGAGACTAGAGAAAGCTTGTGAGACAAAGTGATGCCCAAGATAAGACATGAAGCTTAAGTAGGAACTAGCCAGAAGAAAAGAGGTAGCAAGAGAGGAGAGTGCTCTCACTCCTATGCACATTTTATAATACTTCACAAAGATATAAAATGGGAAAGAAGAAATAAAAACCAAAGTGAAATGCATTTCTGGTTATACTACTACAATTAAGACTTTGGACATGGTGAAACAAAATAACCTCCTGGTTACCAGTTCAAAAATCCACTAGCTGATCCAAGGGAGAAGGATACTTCTGTAAAGGCTACAGCCTTGGAAATCCTATGGGGCAGTTTCACTCTGCCTTATAGGTTAATTATTAAAAGGGGAGTGGTTTGGGTTGGTTATCATTGAAAATGGCTGCCCTCTGCTTAGGCAAGTTGGACTGACTACTGGCTGCCTCCTCTTCCTTCCTCATTCCCACACTCCCTTATTGGGTTTGCCTACATCTCCCATAGACATTTCTTGCTCTCAAGTGCTTATCTCAGTGCCTGTTTCTGAGAAAACCTAAACTAGAATTCTTGGTTAGGCTCTGGCAGTAGGGGAGGATGGAAAGACAGAGCAGAATAGGGGAGGCTGGTTACCTCACAAGGGAGACAGAAGGCACTGTAGTCAAATCTTTCCTATTTCACCAGCTTCCTAGAGCCGGCCAAGTTCCAATTTCTGCCAAGGAAAAAGCAGTTCTAACTGGTAGCTCATAGTATTGGTCACAAGACGTACTGCGGAATATGCTAGAATCTAGGCAAAGCAGTTTGATTCGAGAGTTGATAGAAAACACTGATGTGTGTAGCTCTGTTTGGTGTTGAGCATTTTAGATGTCTGTCTACTCATGGACCCTGCTACCTTAATGCCTGATAGCACAAATAGGGTAAACTGAGGGACAGGCTGACCTCTCAGCCCTGGCAACTCTCAGCTAGCCTGCTGGTGTTGGACTCGGTGTAAGCAATCATACCTCAACCAATGACAGCTTCTCAGTCCCAGTATAAAGTAGTAGTCTCCAAATTAGGCTACCATCCCATGGCAGAGACAGAAGAAGATCTACTACATGGTCAAAAGCAGAACAGGAGAATTCCTCTTTTTACCTATTTTCTTATTCTTTTAAACTTCCCTATTTTCAACTTTTTTCATTCACATTGAGTAGTATCAGTTGCAAATAAAGAAATGTACCTGGATTGAGGGTTCATCCTCAAAAAGCTTTTACTACAAGGGATCCCTAGCAAAAAAAGTTTGAAGGAGCCTGATTCGAAGGCTTGCTCCCTCTTGAAGAGATGAAAAGAATGCCAAGTGATTTTAAACTAAAATAAAGGGTCAAGTGTGTATCTTGGGGTTAGTTCTGCTTATTGGTAAATCACACTAAGTAGGAGAAAAGAGAGGAAAGCTTTAGCAAGTCATCAGAAAAGTATTAAAAAGAGATCAAAGGTAGGCTATAAGTCCCTATATCAAGTAAAAAAAAATTGTAAACACCAGTGGTAATGAGCTGTGTCTGATAGTCCACCTAGTTCAAATCTACAATGCCAGGCTGAAGCAGCTGTCATATGCTTAGGCTTTCAAACAGGTTTTAAAAGCTTTCATTTTGGAGTAAAACATTTGAGTTTTCCACTGTTGTAACTTAATAAAGAGAAGACTGGTAGCTATCAGAATCTCAGTACTGACCACAGCTCAATCTAATCCAAGTTTGGTGTTAGATGATTTGAAAGTTACTAAAAATATCCTTCTTAAATTAACTATGAAAGTTTGCAAATCAAACCCAAAGCTCCACAGAGGCTCCCAGCTCCTGGTAAGATGTTTGAAGCATACTCACCTCGCTCTTCCTCCATGTCTTTCCCACTGAGTGAAGCAATTAAACCTGGACAGAGAGCAAGGAGCACTGAGCTGAGGACTATGCCCAGGAGATTGGAAGATGGCTCCCATGAGCCCTGTTTTATGCCCTTATGTCAGTCCTCTCTCTTTCAGTGGGATTTGACTTAGTGCCTGACTTCTAACCAACAGAATATAGCAAAAGTGTTGGACTGTCACTTTTGTGTCTAGATAGAAAAGTCTGTAACTTTTGTTTTGCTAGCTGACTCTACTGCCTTCTCTGCTTGCATGCTCTGCATGCTGGGGAGATTCCTATGGCATAAAACTGAGAGCGCAGTCTATGATCAAAATCCAGCAAGAATTGAGGTTCTCAGTCCAACAGACCACAAAAAAGGAGGTCCTACCAACAACTACAACAGCTTGCAAACAGATCCCTCCTGAGTTGGACCCTAAGAGGACTGTAGCCCAAACCGCCTGTGAGAAACTCTGAAGTAGAACACCCACAGAAATTGACACAGTAAGTGTGTGTTATTTTACAACTCTAAGTTGCATGGTACTTTGTTACACAGAAATAGATAACTAATACAAGGATGTTATAAAGTTGAACATATACTCACCGCATGATACAGCAAACTTACTCCTGGGTCTTCAGAGAAATGAAAACTTATAGTCACACAAAACCTTGTCAACTGGTCAACAATCATCAAATAATGAAAGCAATCTTCAATGGGTAAATGGGTAAACCAAATATGGTGCATGTACATGTGTGCATAGTCATACATCAGTGGTAAAAAAGAATAAACAAACTGTTAACACACAAAACCTAGATGAGCCTCAATGGCATTATGCTGAGTAAAATAAGACAGGTGTGAGATGTTACAGACCTTTACAGGACAGTCTTGAAAAGACAAAATTCCTAGTGAGGGGGAACAGATGATTCCAGGAGATTCATGGGCATGGAGCACATAAGTAGGAAGAAATAAGGAATTTGGGAGAGTGATATCCTGTATCCCAAATGCAGTGATGGTTTATCAATGTGTTAAAATTCACAAAACTGTTCACAACAAAAGTCAGGTTTATTATATGCTGATTTAAAAGTTAAGGAAAAAGGGGAGTACCAAGCAAGCATCACAGGGTGGCCTCTGGTTTGGTGTCACTGTGCCTGTCCCTCCAGGCTGTCCATGACTGCCAAGAGGCCCCTAAATAACAGCTAGAAGCAAAATCTGCTGTAAATATAGAGTGCTAAAGAAAATGGCTATCCTTTTCTCTCTCTTTAAAAAAAAAATTCTTACTTTGTTGGGCAATATCTAAAAATCAGATTCTAGTCAGAAAGGACAACTCATTTATGCTTTCATTACTCAACAGACCCCTAATTGAGCATATCCCAGCTATGGAGCAGGCACACAGGGATAAATAAATGATTCATTCCCCTACCATGTTCACAGTGTAATGAGGGACACGGGCCTGCACACAAAATCTCAATACAGTAGGCGTAGGTGTGAGCTATGCCCTCATACCTCTGCGAGCCCACAAGGAAATTAGTTCTGCCTGTGAACAGCAGGACATATTTTCTGGAACAAAATAGGTGGGGAAAGGCCTCTCAGGAGGAAGGAGGAAGCCTGGGGAGAGCCTGTTATATTTGAGTACTGTTTCAGGAAACCGGAAGAGAAAGGGGATGTGACACAGAGGATGGGGATGAGAACTTGGGGAAGCAGCCTGGTGGGAGCTGGGATCATTCTTCTAAATTTTAACAAAAAATATGGACTTAAGCCTGTTAGGCAGGTGACAGTAATTTCAAATTCATATATAGTGTGAGCCATATCATATGTATAAATGAAGCAGCTTGGGTGGAAACCATGGAACACTCTAGAGGTATTTTGCTGAAATGAGGCTGCTTCTACTTACCGATAGCTCTGTCTTAGGATTTCTGCCTGCCAGAAATCCTGGCTGTGTTGCCAGATGTAATATTTCAAGAGAAGCCTAACATACTTTTATATAAAATTGGCCTATTTTTTAAAATGTTAGCAATGAGTAAGTTTTGCCAAATTTAAGATTCCAACTGATTATAAGATGCATCATTTTGTGTACCAGGAAAAAAAAAACATTAACAATCAACTATGACACTCCATCAATTTTAAGACATACCTCAATTTCAAAGATGCTAAAATGGAGGAAGAGAGCAAAATGTGTATAACTTAAAAGCAATGAAATATAGAAATTCAGTTTCTCCCAAACATTGTATAGATTCCATGAACTGCATCCTATAGGTTAGACGCAATATGAAGTTGGCAGATTTCAAACTCTGTTTAAGTAAAAGGAGTCAGAGGATAATCTGATTAGACCCAAGCTTTAGGATGGTCACTCTAGGACTTAGATGGTGACAAATTGTGGAATAGCTAGCAGTAAGAAGATTATTGAGAAAACTGTTGCAATAATCAGGAGACAATCAAGGCTGAATTAAAACTATGACAGTGCAGACCAACAAGGGGTCCACTTTGAGTCTTTTATGTAATATGTCTCACAGATGCTTTAGGAGGCCAACTAGGTATGAGTAACAAGAGAGAGAAAGGCATCAAGAATGATTCCACATTTCTACTCTGGAATAATTGTTGTGTTCCGTGAGTCAATTTTAATCCATAGTGATCCCATGTGATAAAGTAGAACTGTCCCATTAGTTCCCAAGGCTGTAATCTATACCCGAACAGATTGCCATGTCTTTCTTCTGTGTAGCCACTGGTGAATTCAAATCATAAGTCTCAGGGAGCTCTGGTGGCCTAGTGGCAAGAAGCTGCACTGCAATCCCAGAGGTATGTGGAGAAGGAGGGGCATTCTCCTCCTGTACCAGTCAGATCTGATTTGATGGTCCACACACACAAAATATAAAAATCGTAGGTCTTCAGGTTAGCAACCAAGCAATTAACCACTGTGCCATCTGGGCTCCTATTTTTAATAGACTGGTCATTCATTCATTCAACGACACTTACTGTTTCTTTATCATATGCCAGCCACATGTCAGGTGCTGGTGATCAAAAGGTGGTAGTCAACAGTACAGACATAATCTCTGCCCTCTTACAAGTTATAGTCTACTAAAAACACCTCCAGTTCACTGCCATCAAGTCAATTTCAACTCACAAGGATGCTCCATCAGGCTTCTCAGACTGTAAATTTTAATGAGAGGAGGATGTCATTTCTCTCCTAGGTGATGCTATTAATTAAAATAGAGTTGTAAGCAGTACAAAGAGCCTTAGTGGCAGAGCAGTTAAAGTGTTAAGCTGCTAACTAAACCTAACATCTGCTCTATGGGAGAAAGATGTAGTAGTCTGTTTCCATAAAGATTTTCAGCCTTGAAAACTCTACAGGCCAATTCTACTCAGTCTTACAGGGGAGCTATGAGTCAGAATCAACTCAACAGCAATATGTTGTTTTGGGTTATTAAATGATGTGAATTTAGAACTCAAAGTGTGATAAGCATGTGTTATTTTTTTTTAAAATGCCAAATCTACTGCTGCCAAGTAAATTCTCACTCAGTGATCCTAGAGGGCAGAGTAAAACTGGTGCTGTTGTTGTTATGTACCAACGAGTTAGAACCAACTCATAGCTGACCGTCCAGATGGTTTTCAGAGGTATAAACTATATGAGAGGAGATTGCTCATCTTCCTCCGTGGAGCAGCTGGTGGATTCAAGCCACATATCTTTGGCATGGCAGCACCGAAGTCCAACTACTAGGCCACCAGAACTTCCTTAGGTTTCCAAGGTCATAATCTCATCTTCTTCAGAGCAGCTGATGGGTTCAAACCACTGAATATTTGGTTAGTAGTTGACTGTTTTAAGTACATGTATTGTTAGGTGCTGTTGCATCAAGTATAATGACTCTACGAACAACAAATCTGAACCCTGTCCTGTCCTGTGTATAGTGGAGAAAAGCTAGTTTTGTTGGAACTATGCTAAATGTGTCTTTGAGATTTCACTGTGGAAAAAGTCCACAGGTTTAGAGCCCAGAAAATAAAGCAGGCCTGGAGATTCCAATTAAGAGCATCAAGTTACTAATAATAGTCAGATTGGAGACGTTAAAATAGCCAAAGAGAGCTTGTAAACTAAGAAGGTAATAGAAGCAAAAGAAAACCTTGAGAAATAGATACACTTAAAGGGAACTGAGAAGGAGGAAGAATCAAACAAAGGAGACTAAAAAAGGAACAATCTTTAAAGTAAGATGCCTAGGAGACAATGTCTCTGGAAAGCAAGTATTACCATATCACCCACATATACATTTATCTCTAACTACTTACTACAAAGAAGCAATTTACTTCGGCAATGTACAATTCAGATTTTCAGACATCTAGGTGTTGTGCATGGATTCTGAACTGGCTTATTAGAATTGCTTCTTACTTAGAGTTGTGATATTTTTAAATATTGTCACAATCTGTTCCTTTAGCTTGTATAAGTTTGCATTTTTTTTCATGTTGCTCAATTTGACAGCTAGTATGAATCGATGGAAGACCAGTAAGAATCCCTATTTCTTCTTCTTTCCTTTCTGCAAGGGCTATTACATGCCATTCAAGATAAAAATAACACAAAAAGATGTAGGTTTCTAAAACTTGCTCACCATTTCAAAATACTGGGACTTGGGTAAAACTAATCTGTTGTTGTTAGGTGCGACTGAGTCAAGTATGACTCATAGTGACCTATGAACATAGATCTGAACCTATCCTATCCTGTGCCATCCTCCTCACTTGAGGCCAATGCAGCAGTTACTGTGTCAATCCATCTGGTTGAGGGTCTTCCTCTCTTTCAGATACCCTCCACCTTTCCTGAAATAAAGCCATGACAGTACAGATCAATGTGGGATACAATACATTAATATTTTAAAAACCAATTTAGGGACATACAATGGGGTCCTATTGCAAGATGATCTTTAGGTTCTGGGTCCAGAGCTTAGTAATAGGTAAGAATGTGATGTAATAAGAGATACTCTGATCTCTTGGGCTTGTTCAAAAATGCTTTCAAAAATTTTCATTTATTG